ATATATATATATATATATATATATACATAAATATATACAATAATATATATACATATATATACAATTATATAAATTATATATATATATATATTTTTAATTTTATTTTAAGACTTAATATGCAATTTTAATTTGTTAGAAAACAATTTTAAATATTAAGGAAATTATTTTAATGGAAGTTTAATGAATAAAGTAGCTAATAATTCTTTCAATTTTTATGAATGATTATATATAAATATTTTTTTTTTATAAAAGTAAATAATTATTAAAAAAATATTAAATTTATTTATATATATAAATTAAATTAATTTTTTTTTATTTATAAATAAAAAAATATATTTTTAAAAATTAAATTTCTAAAAATAAATATATATTTAAAAAAAAAAATATTTAAAAATAAAATACATATATTTTTAAAAAAAATAAAAAAAAATGCAACCTATAAAATAAATACCAGAAGGTGAAAGAACTAAAACAATATACACTTTAATTAAAGACCAAAAGTACAACGATGCAATTTAATATTTAAATTATGAATTATAATTTACTCCCAGAAGTCGTACTTTATCATTACTAGCATATTGTTATTACATGAAATAAGATTTTAGTAATGCTTGTAAAATGTAATAAAAAAAACTATTTTTAGAAATATATAAAAATAAAATTAAGTTATGAATAATTAGTAAGCTTTTATCCTGAAGTAGAAGAATATAAATTATATTTAGCTTAAACATATTATAAAGATGGTAATAATAAAAAAAAAAAAATTAAAAAAAAAAAAAACTTAATTTTTCTTTTTTTTTTAAAAAAAAAAACTAAATAACATTTTTTATTTTTTTTAAATAAAAAAAACATTAATATATTTCATTTATTAAAATTTCATAATAATATAAAAATATATTTTTTCCCAGGTTTATATGATGAAGCAATGAAGGCAATGTAAAGCATTGATAATCAAAACTATTAACAAAAGCTGATTTAACTTTAAGTCCTTATAAGATACGAAAAAAAGAAATTGAGCATGCCAAATCTTTGATAAGATAAGGAGATCCTGAAGACCCTGATAATTTAATAAATGAGGGTTGTATTTTGTATAAAGAAGAGAAATTTGAAGAGGCTAGACATAAATTTTAAGAAGCAATAAATAAAGTTGGTTATAATACAGAATTGGCCTATAATATAGCTTTATGTCATTACAAACTTAAATAATTAGCCCCTTCATTAGAAAATATAGCGAAAATCATCGAAAAAGGTGTCCGAGAACACCCTGAATTAGGAGTAGGCTCAAATGCAGAAGGCATCGAAGTTAAAAGTGTAGGCAATTCTTAAGCTTTAAAAGAAACAGCTCTTATAGAAGCTTTTAATCTAAAAGCAGCTATTGAATATTAAATTAAAAATATTCCAGCCGCAAAAGAAGCTTTATTAGATATGCCACCAAGATCTGAAGAAGAATTAGATCCAGTGACTTTAATGAATTAAGCATTAATGAATATGGATGATAAACCATCAGATGGATTTAAAAGTAAATAATATATATATATAAATATATATATATATATATATATATATATATATATTATATATTCATATATACATATATATTTATATTTTATTAAATATTTTTTGTTTATTAAAATAAAAAAAACTAGATTAAATTATTTATTATAAAATCCTCCTTTCCCACCAGAAACATTTCCTAATTTATTACTTTTATATTGCAAATATTAATATTATGATTTAGCGGCTGATGTCTTAGCAGAAAATACTGATTTAACTTTTAAAATTATGAAAAATGAAGACTTTGAATTTATTGATGCTTTAATTTTATAAAATGCATCTCCTGAGGAAGCATTTAGAAGATTTGAAATTTTATCGAATAAAAGTATTGATAATTTAAGAAAAATTACTAAAGATATTTAAGATGCAAGATTAAATAGGGATAATGAGAGTATTAAAAAATCACTTAAAAATTTTGATGATTAACTTGAAAAATATATACCTGTATTAATGGCTATGGCTAAAATTTATTGGGATAGATAGAATTATTAAGCTGTTGAAAAATTATTTAAATAATCCGCAGAATTCTGTGCTGATCATGAAGTTTGGAAGCTTAATGTGGCTTAAGTCTTTTTTGTTTAAGATAATAAATTTTAGGAAGCTTTGAAATATTTTGAACCTATAGTTAAAAGATATTCGGAAAATTTACTTTAGTTATAGGCTATGGTTATTGCTAACTTGTGTGTGAGTTATATTATGGTTAATTAAAATGAAGATGCAGAGGAATTGATGAAAAAATTAGGTTTTTTTGTTTTTCTTTTTTTTATTTGTTTTATTTATATTTTTAGAAAGAGAAGAAGAAAAGTCGGCTTTATAAGAACCTGAAAAAAATGTATTTTTTATTTATAAAATTTATATGTATTTTAATTTAATATGATTATTTATTTCTTTTAAATAATTTTTATTAATATCTGAAAAATAGGTTTATCATTTATGCATTGTAAACTTAGTTATAGGAACTCTATATTGTGCTAAAAATAATTATGAATTTGGTATATCTAGAATAATTAAATCATTAGAACCTTTAAATAAAAAAGTTATTTATATAACATTTTATTTATTTAATTACAAAAAAAATAGGTTAATACCGATACTTGGTATTACGCCAAAAGATGCTTTTGTTCTTTAATTGAAACTATGGCTAAATAATAATTAGTATTAAAAGATGCTTCTATTGTTGAAATGCTAGAATTTTTAGATACAGCAGAATTGTAATGCAAAAACATTCCAACAGTAAAAATAAATAAAAAATGAATATTTATTTTATTTTAAGGTTATTAATCCATTAGAATAATTAGATGAAAAGAAAACTGTATCTTATGAAGCTAGAATGTTAAAAAGAATGTTTTATAAATTAAGGTGTTGATTATTTTATAATAATATTTATATATTTAAAAAAATATATATATATATATATAATATATATATATATAATATAAAATTTTATATATATATTTATATATAAATTCATAAAACTTAAAAGTTTATTAAAATAAATAAATTATATTCACTAAATATATATTATTAGTCTAGAAAATATATTTCATCTACACATTTTATATGAGTTAAATTTACTTTTCTATCTATATATTTTTTAATATGTTTACTAGTTTTAAATTTTCTAAGTACTTTATATTAGTTAAAATTTTTAAGGTACTTATATTATACATTGGCTTTAAATAATTTACTTATCATTATAGTTTGTATAATCTTTTTTTATAATTTTTTTTCCACTTTTTTAATTATTATTTATTTCTTTATCTTCTTCCTATTATTAAAATATTCTAAATGATTTTATTTAATTTTCTGGTAAAGGGTTATAATTTATAACCCTTTAATCTAAAGAATGATTCAAAGCTTATTTCATATTATTCGATAAATTCAAATTTTATCTATCTTTGTTATATACATAATTTTAACTACTTCCATATAATATATCTTATTTATAAGCGTTCATTTAAGAGCATGACCTTTTTTTTCTATCGAAATAATATATAGGGTTTTTTTAAAAAGTTTAATTCCATATTTCTCCTATAATCTTTTTACTTTATTTTCTCTCTTCTTGTATATTAGATCCTGTTAAAATATTTCTTAATTCAACTTATTAAAATATTTTTGGTTAGTCAGGAATAGCATTTTAGCAAAACAATTTATTAAATGAAGTGTCATTTTTATTTTTTAATAATGCTTTTATTTTTTATCAATATAAAAACCTGAAAGACATGTTTTGTTTATTAGTTATGATATGTTTGTTTCTATATTTTATAAGTTTAAGAAATGTCTTTTTCCTTAATTTTTAATTGGTTCGCTTTTTTCCGGCTCAATAAATGATATGGAAGATTTTTTTCGGTTCTTAATTACTGAGTTATTTATTTATTGGGGAATTTAGTTTTCAGAAGATTCCCTATTTTTGTTAAATGAGCTTTTTGTATATATTTTTTTTTGATTTGGTAAATAAGAGTTGAATTGTTGATTTTTTATTTGGTTTATCTTTATTATATCACCATAATTCTTTTCTTTTGATTACTAAGAATGTCGGGAGTATTTTTTTTCTTAATTTTATTAATTAGAATACATTATTTCTTATATGTATATTTTTTAGTTGTTATAAATAATTTAATATAATTTTGTTTGTTTGTTTTTTTATATTGAAAAAATATAAAATAAAAATTAACAAATGAAAATTAATTAAAAAATAAAATTTATATTAAAAATTAAAGTTGAAAAATAATATTATTTTAATTAATATGAAAAAAATTATAAAACTCATTATTTTTATTTTTTTATTTTAAAAGCTAATTTTTATAATTTATGTAAAAATTAATAAATTTATTTGAGTATTATACCAAATTATAATATTTTAAAAAAAATCATAATATAAATTTTAATTTTTAGTTTAAAAATAAATTTGAAATATATTCAATAAAAATTTATGGTTCAATATTTTTTTTTTTGTTAAATATATTAATTTTTATAAATAAATTTTGTTAAAATTCAAGTTTACAAATCCAAAGATGTAAATATACAAATAAATTAGATTTATGGTTTATTTTTACTGTAATTTTTTGTTTAAAAATCAATCCAAAAAAAAATAAAAAAAGGCCAAAATCAATTTTTTTTTTTTCTTCATAAGCCTTTATTTTTAATCGATTGTATTTTTAAAATAAATTACAAGAAAAAAATAATGTTAAAAAGTAATATATATATATATTTTTAATAAACATATATATATTTATCATTCACACTATTTAAAGATTTATGAAACCGGGAAGACGATTTTTATTTAATTTTCATTTTATTTAAAACACTAACTAATCATTTTATACTTAACGAACTCCATAATTGTTTAAAAATCATTCATTTGAAGAATTTATTATTTAGAAATACTTAAAAACCTTAAAATAATATCATCCAAAATCTATTCAGCTTCTAAAAAGAATAAATCCAGAATTTTAATTGCATATTTAAAAGGCGTATACATTTATAAAATTGTCAAATAAAATTATTCAAAAACCATAATTGGTTAAATTTAATATTCCGAAAAATGCTTGCTAATTTCCGGTAGTTAAAAATGGATTTTCTACGCTAAATTTTATATCAACTAATGCATTTTAATTAGTTCTCCTTTATATACTTATCTCCAATTTTTTCCATGCATAATAAACACAATTAACCAAAAAACTTTACAATCGAAATTCTATTCATTTACCTCACACCCAAATGACTTTTTTCTGTCTTTAAAATTTTCCAATTTTAAAACTAAAATTAATTATCCAACTAATAAATTCATCCCTTATACATATCCCAAAACCTTATCGAAATTAGAATATGCTCTGAGTATAAAAAAGAGCATTTCCTGCCCTTAATTTTTGTATTCTTTTTCCACATATTCAATTTCTTGTTTTCCAAAAAAATCTTTATTTGTGTAGGTTCTAATGACGTCTTAATATATTTGTTAATCATACTAACTTGGTGTATTTTTTAATTATTGGTATAAATTTTTGCCATATGTCTTTTCAAGTTTTTAAATTTCGGCTATCCAAAACCATATACGGGGTCGGAGATCATCCGGAATACCATTTCTGATATTTATTTTTAACTCTATATAGGGTGTGAGTTTGAACTCTTTGGTTTTTGTAAGGTTTTTCCAATCTTCTCGAGTATAAATTTTAATATTTTGGTTTTCCTCAATTATTAGATAGTTGTTAAATATAATATGAGAAAAAAAATTATTAGTATCAGTTGAACTATGTATAGATGATGGGAATGTAAGTTGGTTTTCACTAGTATTAGATTTAGATGCAGAAGATGAAGAGTAATTGTTTTCGGATGATTCTTAGGTTTTATGGGCTTTTGATTAAATATTCATTTTTCCAATATTTTTTTGAGGTTTTTAAAAAAAAAATTATATAATATTGGAACTTTTGTTTTTTTTTTTTTAGTTTTTTTAGTTTTTTTAGTTTTTTTTTTTTTTAATTTTTAAAAATACGACAATTATATTTTTTTTTTTATATTAAATTATATATTTATTATTAATTATTTAATTATTAATAGTAAATAAATATATTTTAGTTTTTTTTTTTTTTAAAAAAAATAATAATAATATTTTTTGTTAATTTTAGATTATATTTTTATATTAAAAAAATTAACTAAAAAAAAAAAATATTAAAAAGAATAAATATATTTTTTTTAAAAAAAAATTATTAAATGTGAAAATAATTATTTTATAAAAGATATATAAAGAATTGAATTAAAATAAATATATTAGTTAAACTTACTGAAAAGAAGTATTAATAAAAAATAACAGACAATAAAGTATTTTTGAAACAGAAATTTGTTAAAATAAATAAAATTAATATTTTATAAAATGGAAAAAAATAAAATAAAATAGAATTATTTAAAAAAATAAAACTATCGAAATAAAAAGCTTGAATACAAATATATATTATAATGTATTATTATATGATAAAAAAAAAATCATATATAATATTATTATAATTAAAATTTTTTTATATATAATTTTTTTTTTTTTTTTTAAATAATTATAATTTAATATTTTCTTTCATTTTATATATATTAATAGATTATTTAAATAGTAAAATGAATGTCAAATTTATATAAAAATGCCTAAATTAAATATATAAATTTATATATTTTATATTTAAAATAATCTATAAAATCATTTTTTTATAAATAACTTCTAAAATAACTGATTCAATATCATGTTTAAACTGATTATTTTTTTAAAAAAAAATACAAATAAATATTTTAATAAAAATTCAATAAAATTTTTTTTTTATTAAAATAATAAAAAATAAAATTATTTTTTAAAATATTAAATATTTTAATATTATTTGTATATATAAACACTTATTAATGAATACTAGTTAAGAAAAAAATATATTTTTTGATTTGGACGAATTTTTTTATATATATGAATAAGAAAATAATAATACTTTAATAAATTAAAGAAAATTATCAATTTTTTAAAATTTAAAACCATTAGACTAAGAAATATCATAAGAAGAATTAAAAATAATGAATTGGTTAGATTTTTAATAATTATATATAACCGACCCCTAGCAAAAAGAATACGACTATTATTAAAAAAAAAAATATCAATTTCTCATTCATTGAAATTAGTAGATAGTTAGTAGTTAAATAATTTGAGTACATTTAATGAATATTAGTTTGATAAAACATTTGATTTCAATCTTAAATAAAATAAATCTATATTTATTCAAGATTAATATAACAGCACATTAACTACAATTTCAAATTTGAGTATGTTAGATTCAAAAAATTCTTTATAAATGGAATCTAGTTCTATAAAAGTAAAAAGGGCAAGTAAATAATTATAATGTCCAATATCTTTATCAATGTAAAATATTATAATTTATATAATTTATTAAATTTTTTGTTTCATATATATTATTTGGTTTTTTTTTGTTTAAAAAAAATAATCTTTATTCTTTTACTTTTTTAGAGTTAAGGATCATGAGGAAAATAAGGAAGTATGATTTTTATTTTTTTTAATGTAAAATATTCTAAAGTCTATTTAATATATATATACGTTTACGCTTTTTTTAAAAAATTATATATAATATATATTTATTTAGTATTATATTTTAATTTATTAAAAATGATGTTTTTTTTAAAAAAGAATATTTTGTAAAATATATATAATTTTATTCTACTTTTTTCTTATCAATATTATGTTTTCATGAAAGATAGATAGGTTGTAAAATACTTAAAAATTCTAAAAAAAAAAGTATTTAAATTTATATATATATATAATTATAACTTAATTTATTCAATAATTATTTATTTTAGATATGTATATATTTAATTCAATTTATTATTGTT